AGCACCATGAGTGCTCGTACAGCCATGCCAGGGGCCCGCAATGACCACAGCTAATTCCCTCAGCACTCAGGGGTGGAGATCATCCAGACCAGCTGATTTAATACGTCCAGTCCCTCCAGAAGTTCCCCGACTAGATCTTCGCTGACCCTTGGCCTGGGTGCGCCTCCCGTGGGGCCTGAGGGGGGGCTGATCCGGTCCCTGCTCAGGAAAATGGAGGCAAAGAAGTCATTAAATATGTTAGGTTTGTCATCTAGTGTAACAACCAAATTTCTTAGCATGTCTTACAGGGGCCCCATGTTACCCGGTACCTTCTTTTTGCCCCCTATGTATTTAAAAAAGGACTTCTTGTTGTCCTTGATCCGGGAAGCTAGTCCCAGTCCCATCTCCGCCTTGGCCTCCCTGACCTCCCCTGCATCCCCGAGCAACCGCAGTGTAGTCCTCCCTGGTGATGGCCCCTCCCTGCCATTGGGTGTGCACCTTCCTTTTAGCTAGGAGACATTCCCAGATGCTTTTGATAAGCCATCGGGGCTTTTGCGCCCTCCTGCTCCCTTTGACCCGTGTTGGGATTACCTCCCTTTGGGCTTGGAGGATCGTCTCCTTAAGGAGCGACCACTCTCCTTGGACACCTGGCTCCCCTCCCTACTGGGACCTCAGTCCTTCCCTGACTATTCTCTTTAGCTCACTGAAGTCTGCCCTCCCGAAATCTAGGGCTGCTGCCTTGCTGCCGGCCTTTGCCACCTTGTGCTGGATGGTGAATTCCAGCAGGCGATGATCACTGTTGCCCAGGTGGTCGAGCACCCGCAGCCCCCTCACCAGGTCATCACCCGTGGCCAGCGCCAGGTCCAACAAGGCATCTCCCCTCGTGGGGCTGTGCAGTTGCATTAAACCCACATTTTGTGCAGCCGCATTGCACTGCAGACTCACATTGAGTCTGTGTTCTGCCAAGACTCCCAAGTCCTTTTCCACAGAGGTGCTGTCCACCCGGGTGTCCCCCACTTGGTAATTGTGTGTGGGATTATCCCTCCTGAGGTGCACACCACCTTGCATGTCTGCACTGAGCTGTATCCTGTTGCTGTAGCCTAATTCCTTCTGAATTGTGCTCACATCCTCCAGCATGTTCCCAGTCCTCCCCAGTTTCATGTCATCTGCAGACATGCTCAAGAAATGTTCTATGCCAGCATCTAAATCATTAATAAACATGTAGAATAGCACGGGGGGACTCCACTTGAAACCTCCTGCCATTCTGATATGGATCCATTAATAATTGCTGGTAGTAGTTTTAAGCAGCCACATTTCTCCAATTTGTTTCTGAGATGGTCATATGGGCCCAGGTCAAAAGGCTGGCTGAAGTCCAGATACACGATACCCAGTGTTCCCTTCATCCACCCGAGCAGTTACTTCGTCAGAGGAGGGGGCCAGGTTCATTTGACGTGATTTGCTTTCCATAAATGGATGCTGACTTCTTGGGATCAGGCTTTCCTCCCCCAGATGCTTGCAATGGCCTTCCTCAGGAAACTCCAGTCACTTCCATAGATTTCACAGACATTAGGGCTGGAAGGGACCTCA